GTAAAACGTTAAAGCCTAGTTTTACTGCAAAATAAACAATAAAAAATCGTGAATACCGGCGTGAACTCACCGGCAATCCTTGAAACTTGAATCCGAAAAATTTGGGCTAATCAATTTGTAAGAAAGCACCGACTCCGTCCACGTGTGGTCCTGCTTGCTCTTCCCAACGATTTAATAAACATTGGACGCTCCCTGCGAGTCATAATGATTACCAAATACGATTAGGTGATCTCAACGGAGTTATTTGCCTTCTCACCTTCCTGCGGGGTGCAAATTGAGGCTCAGAAGATGTNTATGAGATCTCATTGTTCGGATACCTGGTCGAACTTCCCCTCTAGTGTCCAAACCAATTCTGCAGCTCTGGTTTTGAGTGGGTTTACACACTGCCATTTGTCGAGCACGGATAACCTACCTAGACTCGTGACATTTGCTGAATTCATTTCCACTTCTAACTTTGCAATCTCCAATGGAATCGCAATACCTGGGATTGAGACAGTTCATCTTTCTCTTCATTGAGTTTGCTTATGAACATGCTGAATCAGGGCTTTTGCTTGTGTTATACCGCCCAGGAGTTCACCAGAGTCGTCTCTTCCGGTATTGCCTTTTTCCAGGTAGCTTCCATGATATTTAAATACCTCGGCACTGGAGTGCCCCGGTGGGATTAGACCAAAATATCAGAGAAGGGCAACCAAGGTCTCATCTTCACTGTGTGTCTGACTGGCGGTGGTAAAAGGATTACATGGCTATTTCTTTGGGGGTCAATTTCGCAATGGTCATCACCATCTGGAGGTTAGGCTTGATTATTTGTGGTTCATCATATTCTTTGTAATGTTTTCCCACTAGCAGAAGGATTCCACCTCCCATTCGGCTTCCTTCTACTAGTCTTGCTCTCAATGTAGCCCGTAGGACAGTGGGCGATAATGCACTCTCTTCGTTTCAGCCACGTTTCAGACGCGCCTCAGTGACTGCAATCACATCTGCACTAACCGAACAGACCCCAAGCTAGAGAAACTTGTTGGGTCAGATCAGGTAACGCAGGAGGGAGAGGTTTCGCCAAACATGTGTTCAGATTCTTACTCCATTAGGAAGATTGCTTCTTCTAAAGCTTTTTCCGGCAGAAAAATGACTTCAGTACGATATCTGTAGACGAGATTAGTTGAAAAAACAAGGAGCACATCATCCCCAAACAACCTTAAACCCCGTTTATATGCTATCTTTTGCTATAGTTGGGTCCAAACCATGTCCAACTACTGCTTAAAGTTGACGGTGATCGCACATGCCATCAGGTGCGGCGGGGGCTGATTCCAGCTATCAATCTCCCTGTCCGCGTAGACTTATGACCGCACACCAGTGCCAGCGCTTGGTTTTAAGGGCTTTAGACTGTGCCTCTGGGGGCTTCTACCGGCATTCGAGGAAATAAACTGTAATAATCGAATAGGAACCGGGATT